CAATAATAGAAGTTGAGGACCCAAAGGTACCCCCAATAGTAGGACTTGAGGGCCCAAGGATACCTCTCAATAATAGGACTTGAGGACCCAAGGGTATCCCCGAATAGTAGCACTTGAGGACCCAAGGGTATCCTCCAATAATAGGAGTTGAGGACCCAAAGGTACCCTCCAATAGTAGGACTTGAGGACCCAAGGGTACCTCCCAATAATAGAAGTTGAGGACCCAAAGGTACCCCGAATAGTAGGACTTGAGGACCCAAGGGTACCCCCCATAATAGGACTTGAGGACCCAAGGGTACCCTCCAATAGTAGGAGTTGAGGATCCAAGGATACCACCCAATAATAGGACTTGAGGACCCAAGGGTACCCCCGATAATAGGACTTGAGGACCCAAGGGTACCCTCCAATAGTAGGACTTGAGGACCCAAGGGTACCCTCCAATAGTAGGACTTGAGGACCCAAGGATACCACCCAATAATAGGACTTGAGGACCCAAGGGTACCCCCCATAATAGGACTTGAGGACACAAGCGTACCTCCCTATAATAGAAGTTGATGACCCAAAGGTACCCCCAATAGTAGGACTTGAGGACCCAAGGATACCACCCAATAATAGGACTTGAGGACCCAAGGGTGGGTACCCTCCAATAGTAGGACTTGAGGACCCAAGGGTACCTCCCAATAATAGAAGTTGAGGACCCAAAGGTACCCCCAATAGTAGGACTTGAGGGCCCAAGGATACCTCTCAATAATAGGACTTGAGGACCCAAGGGTATCCCCGAATAGTAGCACTTGAGGACCCAAGGGTATCCTCCAATAATAGGAGTTGAGGACCCAAAGGTACCCTCCAATAGTAGGACTTGAGGACCCAAGGGTACCTCCCAATAATAGAAGTTGAGGACCCAAAGGTACCCCGAATAGTAGGACTTGAGGACCCAAGGGTACCCCCCATAATAGGACTTGAGGACCCAAGGGTACCCTCCAATAGTAGGACTTGAGGACCCAAGGGTACCCCCCATAAAAGGACTTGAGGACCCAAGGGTACCCTCCAATAGTAGGACTTGAGGACCCAAGGGTACCTCCCAATAATAGAAGTTAAGGTATCCCCGAATAGTAGCACTTGAGGACCCAAGGGTACCCTCCAATAATAGGAGTTGAGGACCCAAAGGTACCCCCAATAGTAGGAC